AAAAAAAAAAAAAAAAAAAAAAAAAAAAAAACACATCATAGTAAAATTAATACCTTCTCCGCTTCGCATCGAAGCTAAAAAATTTTTTTGATAAAATATTTTATTTTTATAATTAAATACTAATCAGATAAATTTATCAGTTTGTTAAATTATTCATTCCAATAGTTGTATAAAAAATTGTAAAAAGTTATAGCAATATATAATATAATAATGCATAATATATGCAAATATATTATGCTTCATAGAATTACATGCATACATTCCTTTGTATAGTTATTTAAACAAAAAATGCATTGATGAAAAGGTATATATAATAATATAATATATATAATATTTTTGAAAATCTGACCCTTTACCTGACAAAGGAGGATTCAAATAGAAAGTTTTTTACAAAACTAAACTTTTGAAAATGTTCCGGAAATACTAGGTCCTTTAAAAATATGTCAAATTAAAGCTTCAGTTCAATTGTACTATTTTTTTTATTATTTTATTTATATTTTCTTTTTTTATTTTATTTAATTGTTAAGCTATAATAATACTTTGAATTAAAAGCTATAAAAAAAAAAACTTATGTTACGTACTAGAAATTAAAAAAAAAAAAAAATTTGTACCGACGACCTATTTTCTGTGTGCAAATGGCACTCAAAGTAGAACAAAATATAGGAATTAATTTTGCTTTTGGAATAATCTTCCAATTTCTTAAAATTAAACACTATCTATAGATTTGCATTGAAGCGTTTCTTATGATAATGATTTTAATCACTGTCAGATATCATCTATACTTGTATCAACTATGTCACATCTATGCTGTGCCACAACCCCACTGTGCTACCGTTTTATTAGACTCAGTGGCTCATTTATAATATGATCTTTGTGATTTAATAGACTTTAAAGTATTGGATACAAAATTGTAGTTACTTGAACGCGGCGAAAAAGTTCATATTTGTCTTTTTCATAAATAAATTTGACGTGCAAAATGATTTATATTGAATATCTAAAAGTTAGATATTATAAAGTTAAAAATATAAAAAAGAATTTTTTTACAAAAATCGTATTTTTTTTATTAAGTTTAATGTCTGTTTTCACCATGAAGATAAAATAAAGTCCGAAATTTTTTTTTACCATTATAAAGTATATTACATTAGCTTTAATTTAAGATATATATAAAAGTGTCAGACCTTCCGGAACACTTTCAAAAGTTAAGTTGAAAAAGTTCTACTTTCTATATGCATTTTTATGTTTTGAATCCTCCCTGTATTAAGGGAAATAGTCCGAATTAAAAAAAAAGTATGTCGAATGAAAGATCTATATAAATACTACTTCTCATAAAAAAATTGTAATGATTCATACATTTTTCAAAAAGTTATAGCATAATAAAGTTAAAAATGGAAAATACAAAATCGAAAATTTTCACACAAAAATAGCATTCAGTAGCCATTTTCATTGTGAATATAAAATAAAGTCCGATTTTTTTTTTTGCATAATAAAGAACATTACATTAGCTTTAATTTAAGATATATATAAAAGTGTCAGACCTTCCGGAATATTTTCAAAATTTAAGTTAAAAAAATTAATTTTTTGTGAAAAAGTTGTCATTTTNTTCAAAAGTTAATTTGAAAAAGTTAATTTTTTGTGAAAAAGTTATCATTTTAAATCCCCCCTTGTGGGTAGGTAAGTGTCAGATTTATAAAAAAAATATACCAAATAATAGGAAAAAACAACATACATTTATAAAATTTTTTTATTTATTTGGTATTTTTTAAAAAAGTTATGGCAGTTTCATGAGAAAAAAATGAAAAAATGTCGAAAATTTGCGTTTTTTGAAGAAAGAATAAAATAAATTAAATATGAAATGGTTGGGTGCTTGTTTGAGCTACTACTTTATTGTATTAATAATTTTATTACACGTGGTATGACTACGAGGGTCTGTAAGAAATATAGAAGATAATAAAAAAATAAAGTGATCTTTATTTTATTAATATGAGATTTATTGTGATTAATTGTCAATTCATTAATATCAATAATGCCACTAGTTTTGACGGTTATCGATGATAGGTGGGATTGAGTCACTTCGTGTCTACCCAAAGTGGTATGGTGGCTTTACATTTGAACCTCCAACCTAAGTCCTGAAACACACAAGAAATAACAAGAACTACTAAGTAATACTGTACAAACATTATCGATTTATTAAATTTACTTGGTATATTTCTTATTATTGATGATCACTCGATTTTCCTGTATGCCTACTTAATCTATGTACTCAAAAAATTTAATTCTAAACCTTATATATTTTTGGTGAAATTATTAGTTTCCTACCTTGATAATTCTAATGACACGCTGAAATGAAAAAATATTGTGTTCTTGTACAAATATAATTGAAGAGACAGCGGATCGCTTCTCACATATATTTCGTTATAAAGGTGTGGAATGATTAAGCGTAGTGNATATTTCGTTATAAAGATGTGGAATGATTAAGCGTAGTGAGTATCTCAATGAATATTTGACCGCATCTGAGCAAGTGAAAGCATTCCGACCACCATCAGAGTGACATCTGAGCCAGAATGCTCCTTATTTTGGGCTTTTTATATTTAATTTGATCGTTATTTTAAAGGCAAGAAGTGATCACTGACTTTATCGTTATTTCTTTATTAATCGTAATTTATTACATGTTATTTATTATATCATCGTCAATAATGTTCTCTATATTATGAAACACTATCATATCTTATATAATATTTTAGACATAGTTAATTACTTGTAATGTTGCAGAA